CTTACTTTTATTAGGTATTTTACCTTATATATATTCTATATACTTTAAGCTTAATTATTTCTATAAAAAAGTAATAGCTCTTTATTTATATACTTTTAAAGTTAATTATTAAAATATTAACTTTTTAATTAAAATTAAAATCCTAGGTAATAATAAGGGTAATATATATCTTACCTATATATATTTATTAGTATTCTTTACCTTTATATACTAAAGGCTAAACCCTCTTTAAACTACCTATAACCTTACTCCTGTATAAAGCTTGCAGTAAAATTAAAAACCTGTACGGATTAATGGTGTATCTGGCGGAGAAAGAGGGCGAGTATCACAGAATAGGGTCCTTTGAAGCACAAAGTTCAGCTGATGAGTATGAGGAGGAGGATACTGGGTATCTTATAGCGGAGGAATGGGCAGAGAAAAGCATTGTCATCATTTAGAGTAGAACTTTATTACTTCTTTGATATAGAGATCATAGCCACTGAAATGAATAGCCAGAAAGCTGCTACTGAGCTCCCAGGAGCATATATCGTACACAGCCCGCATCAATGTATCCTCCAATACCGCCATTATCACCTACAAACCAAAGAATCAGCATAAAATCAGTAAGATATGAGGGGAATATTACTTACAGCCTGTATATGCCTTGACAAACAAGTCTTTGCAAAGCGGACCATCCTTTCCAAGTGGTGTATACGGATCTTGCGACTCCACAGTCGTCTTGCATCCCTCAACCCAGGATACCTCATAGTAATACAAATCGCTCTTTGTAATACCAGTGGCAGGGCTGTCGGACTTCATGTCAGCAGGCAAGTTGGTTTCGCAGTACGCACCTGCTAAAGACTTCACGGCGCCTGGGCTGACGTCCTTGTGATCACCGCCCCTGTTCTTACAAAACACTGGCCCCAGTTCCAACGGCGTGATCTTATCCTCTGGTGGTGCGGGAGCTTCGGTGGGCTTGGTTGAGACCCACGATGCGCAGTATGTGTTCTCGACGCAAGCTTGGCCTCTGCCACCGCCGCCCTGAGCACACTGTGTGTTAGTCGCTGTCTCGGCGCATGAACTACCATCGGGAGTAGAGATAGGTCCCGGAACGTCGGTCAGCGTTGGGAGACCGGTCAAGTGAAATGGTGGTGCTGTCGTTGACGTGGTAGGCATGGCGGTGTACTTGTAGGTGCCGCATCCTACATCAATGGTACCCTCGAGAAAGCTGTTCTCAGAGTCAAAGCACTCATCGCCAAAAGCGTACATCGAATCACCGCAAGGAATTTGGCAATCTCCCTTAGCACCACTCCAATCATATTCGAACACCCAGCCCTCGCAAGACTCAGCTCGTTCCCGAAGCATATGTCTTCTCATGTTAAGCGACGCACGCTTCTCTTGAGATCCACCCTCAGCGTCGGCTTCAGTGAGATTCTTGCTAAGCTCATCGCCCTCATGGCCATTGACGTCGGCGCAGAACTTGGAGTAAATCGACATGAAACAGTCGCGAGGAACGTCATCGCTACTCTGTTGTTGGCATTGAACATCCGGGTGTTGAGCGTCGTTGATAGAAATATTCTCATCGTCAAAGACCTGCTGGAAGTACCGAGAAGTATCGTCTTCGACCGCTTCCATTGTAGGAATGGCTTCGTTGTCGGCTGGTACTTCGCCGAAGAGGACTGACTCCTCAGGGAAAATGCTGGTGGTGACGGTGGGGGTCTGTTTGGCGGGGCAGTCGATCGGAGCAGGGCATGTTACGTAGACAGTACTATGGTTCTCTGTCAGAATTGGGACTAAGGAAGAGAGCTGGGGATATAGACTTGCCTGGTATATGTTTCGCTCTCGGAGTAGAAAGAGACAGTCTTTGTGCACGGCGCTGGATCCTTTTTCTCACAATCATCAGGTTCATTGGGATTTTGAGGATCTTCAGGGTCTTTTGGATCAGGATTCTCTGGATCTTTGGGGTCTGGGTTCTCAGGATCCTTCGGGTCTTTAGGCTCACCAGGATTCTTAGGATCGTCAGGGTTCTCAGGGTCTTTGGGGTCTTGAGGATTGTCCGGTTTCCTGGGATCGTCCGGAGTGTCAGGAACCTTGGGTACATCCGGAATCTTGGGGGCGTCAGGAATCTTGGGGTCGTCGGGCTTCTTGGGATCATCAGGCTTTTCCGGATCGTCAGGGTTTTTAGGATCATCCGGCTTCTTCGGGTCATCAGGTTTCTTAGGATCATCAGGTTTGTTGGGAACTGGAACTGGTACTGGTACAGGAGCGACATCAGTGGTCTTTGGATCCTCTGGTTCATCAGGCTTCTGGGTCGTAACTGGAGCAGGAGGGTTACCTGGCGCCGTGGTAATCTCTGGCTCTTGCGGCGCAGGTGCCGCTGTTGTCGTAGCTGGAGGGGGAGGGTTATTAGGCTCAGCTGTTGTTTCTGGCTCAGGAGCAGGGACTGGCGTGTTTGGGCCTGCGGGTTGATTTGGCTGAGGATTGGGGACGATAGGAGGAGGATTCCGGTCATCAGCTGGGATTTCTTGTTCTTGTCTTGCGACAAATACTCTGGGATAGACTGGGTGAGTGAACACGGCTGCCCCAGAGGAGTTTTCTTGTTCAAGGCTTGCGCCAACAGCCGTAGCACCTAGCCATAATGCTGCAATAGCGCTGACCTTCCAAGGCACCGTCATGATGGCGAGTGTATTTGCAACGAAAGAGAAGTAGGAAATGGACCAAGGACGGCCTAAAGGATAGAGAGGTGAAGTGATCGTTGCCAAGTCAAATCTGATATCCTTCGGCAGCCAGAGTCTGAGTATTATGATATATAGAACTCGGAATAGATGGCTTAGAAGATGTGTTCGTATTGTAATTATTGGTGGATGGGATCTCCCCTTGCATTAGCTAGATTGCCTCATCCAAAATTATCCAAGCTCAAGGCAGGGCAAATAAGTAAGCCGCAGGATCTGCACAGCCGACGGAGCACTATGCACCAATTGTGGCGCTTATCTCGGAAGTACAACCCATTCAGGCATCTCAATTCCACTTGATAGTGAAATCGTCTTCATCACGGGAGTTTATCTCCCGCCCACAGCGGGATTCCGTGCAGAAGGATTTGGATGCATGAGCGTGCTTACATGTTAAAATTAAAAGTAAGCTTTTCTTCAACAGTGCTCGTCTTAGCGTCAAACGTTAGCTCTAAGAATAATCCAATGGAGTATTTCAAGGCATTCCTGATAGACGGGCCAATCAGAGACTGCAGAGATGATGACAAGCCGTAACAAGGCCAATCAAACAGATCTAGGCCCGAGCCGCACAGCCTCGGCATAGCCCTACGGATCCATATCTATCTGTAACGCTGGATCTGCCTACGGAAATCTCCGTGCTATGGATTAAGCGCTCAGTAGGACCGATACGGGAATCTCGAGTTGAAAGGGTTTCTTAGGTCAGAGTGAGAATTGATTACAGTGACATTAAAGGATTGTCTGTGCCTTTCGCAAGGCTTAGACGGAGCTATTGCTTAATAGAGAATATTTTGATATCCCTGTGACTTGTCGTAAAGTCACTCCCCTACCCAAGAGTATAGAATAATACGACCCTTCTTTATTTGTTAACCTCGGGCACTAAAACATAACCTTGAGGTCTTATATCTCTAGTATTGAGTACTTCCTCTATTTATCCTTTCCTGGGCCTGACATTCTCCTCTACTCTTATCTACTGTTTGTCACTGGCCTATTCATCCATCAACATGAAGGTCTTCTTGCCTATCGTAGCCCTCGCTGGGCTTGGCTTAGCCGCAGACATGAACGTCTGGGATCTTGATGACTCTTGCCAAACACCCGAACGCAAAGGTGCCTTTGACAAGGCGTACAGCGATGCAGAAGTTCTAGCAGTCAAAGCTCAAGAGGACCTTGAGAAGCTCAAAGGCGCGCGTCCAGACTTTGTATCAAACATGCGAACCAACTGGGACCGTATCGCAAGGGCTGCGACTAACATGTTTGGCTTTGTGCCGAATAAAGATGGCCATGATCCTGCTGAGGAGCATTACTCGAACGTTAGGTGTAAGTCGACGCTACAAAATTATATGTGTCTTTACTGATTGATTGGAAGATGTTTATGATCGTATGGTCAAGACCCTTCACAACGATGAGATGATTCCAGCCAATGGCTACGGCGGACTCAAGCCTCTTCTTCTGTGCGACGAAAGCAAATTCGTCTGGGTCGGAAGAGACGACAAGGATCCTCACGATCCAGCAGGAAGGCCGCTTCGCGAGTCCAGACCCAAGGAGATGGGAGATTCAAAAGCCGGAGCTTGGGTCTACAAGAAAAGGTACCTCGTAAATGGCGTCAAGCAATCCAACACAGGACTCTGCAGACCAGGCGTGTTCGCCGTCACGCTTACCCGCAACGACTTCATCATCTTTTGTCCGCCATCATTCCAAGACCCGGTGGCTGGTACAAGATCCGCTGTTGATGCTAAAGACAGCGTTCAGAAAGACGATATGTTGGATACGTACTCTGCTACTAGCCTTTCTCGAGTCATGGTCCATGAGCTTGCCCATTGGTTTGGCGGTGATGGAAATGGTGGAACCGAGAACCGCAATAGTATGTATACTATGAATGATATTCTTTCGGTTGCTGGGATGCTAACGTCTTACCTGTGCAGTCCCTGATCAACAAGCTGTCGGAAAGGAGGGAGCTCTCGTCTGGCAAAAGCCCGATGGCAAACGCACCACTGACGCGTCTCTCAAGGACCTCAAGAGATATCTTACATGTGAGTTCTTCTCTATACTTTATCTTCTTATTGCGCAGAATGATAGCTGCTAACCATAGAGTTACAACAGACCACTTTATGTGGGTTTCCAACTTGGCGCGCTCTCACGAGGGCGCTAACGCAGGAAATTCTGGCCCGAGCAAAGCCACTTTTACGGCTGAATCATATGCTCTCTTCGCTTTAATGTCGTAAGTTGATTGTAAAACCTCAAACCGAGTTGATCCTGATTTCTATCTTCTAGCTACATGGATAACTGGGATTGGGCTAATGATGGGAAGGCAAAGGCGTTTGTTGATGAAATGATCCCATATGAGAGACTTCCCAACAGTAAGAAGGTTCGTTTGGGCTAGAGGGGACTTCATCGCTTAGCCAGTTAAGTGAGTTGTTAATTAAACATTATGCTTGTATATCTTACAAAGTGCATTGTTCTGTAAAGAGAAACTTTGCTATAAATGATACATTAGATCTATGGTCATTGCCTGCGGCCTTTATATTGTGAAAGAACGTTCATCCGGCTTCTTAGGGCTATCAGTTTCATTAGGAACGAGGAATAGAACCAGCACAGAAGCTGTATTTTTTATCTTTCATGCCTGTGGCTTATTGAGCTTCTTAGTAATAATTAATTTTAATTTCTATTATTATTAGAGTTTTAGTAGAACCATTATTCTTACACTAAACTATCGTAATCGTCCGCGGATTGCTGTTGCAAAAAGCCCGCTGCTGAATATTGAGCATATCTTGATACTGCTGGAATAGGTCAACATAGTCCCCATGGGCTTGAGGTTCCCTTAGTTCCAGAGGCTCAAAGTTAAACACCCCAACCCTACGAAACGTTTTCTCGTCTTGTGTAACAAGTATAAGCCCCGAAGGACCACTTCTGGAGTCCTCGTCGAAGAGACAGATTTTAAGGCAATAGACAGTGCCACCCCGAATTCTGTCCTCCAACACATCGATCCCAAAATCAAGCATTACAGTCGCGAAATCAAGGTCCAGCGTCTCATTAGTCAGACTCTCGGACTGTACTAGTAATGATCTCTCGATAGATGGAATAAGGCTCGCCTTTTGTAAGCACCCATGAACTACCAACGACCCAGATGAAACTCTCCCATATTGAGCTTCTGGATATATTGGGGTGGTTGTACCGCAGACCCACTACTCGTGGGTCAATCGTCGTCGGTGTGCTGTCAAACCAATCGACTTGCACAACCAGCCTGGCCCACGACCAGGTAGGTGCAACATATTCTGCAGGTTGTTTCGACTGACTTTGCGGCTGTGCTGATGTCCATAGAAGTGCTTCAGGAAGATGCGAGAGCCATATCCCGGCCAGGTAAGAATCATCGAGGGCCTGTGCCCAGGTCTCAGCTACCCCCGAAATTGCTGGTAGTTTATCAAGAGCATACGTCAGCTCCCGCTTGGTGTATACCTCGACGATGTTCATCCAGTTTCTGCAGCCTTTATTGCTCTCGTAAAACCCTTGGAACATGCGGTGTGAGTCCTTAAACGGCCCAAGATAATCCAATGCGAGACATGCATCATCTTGTCGAAACTCCACGGCTTCCCGACATGTCCAGTGTAGGCCAGCATTGGTGTATTGAAGCACTCGACGAGATAGGATATACTCCTGGAGTGTCCAGGCTCGATCGCCGATAGGAGAATTCGCGAGGCCCTTAGAAAGTATCACCGACCCAAGCTTTTTGTCAGGGCAGGCGAACAGTAGTCTGAAGGATGTCTCGGAGATGGGGGGTACGGAGATATCGTGAAGGAAGCCTTCATTGCTGTGCTTAGCTCTCGCAGCCGGTATGGTAATGAATGAATACATGTAGATCTTAGACATCTGCGCAATCTCTAACGCAATATCTTGAGGATTGTCTTGATAGATGCAGAGACAGTCGATCCAGATAAACTTGAGTCCTAGATTTTGGGTCGCTAAAACAGCATCTTGTAACTTCCGAGGTAGTCCGGATACGGGCAGACCTTTCATTAAGGCAGCTGTGGTATTAGCGTTCAGCTGAAGTTCTTGATGACCACCCCAGCAGTATGTCAGAGCTGTGTACAGGCTCGCCCCCGCAAGGTGCTGTGCTTTCAGCATGTCCTGCAGTCTTACGGAAAGGCTACCGTCCTGGCACTGAGAAAGACTTAGGAGTCTCGATGGCGTAAAATTGGATCCATGAGGCCGGCATTTGTAATGCGAAGTCTCGCAGGTCTTCAGACGAGACATCACTCACTGCCTAGATTCTTCCGACGAAAACGATGGCCTAAAAGGACGGGGTCCAACGGTCTCCACAGCAGGGTCATCTAGGCAGTTGTTAGTCCCACAAGTAACCCGTTGTCACTATAGCCTACATACTTTCTTCTGCAGTAAGCCAATACAAAGAACCTGGCCCTTCTATATGATGTGGGTTTACTGGAGATCCCTGGTCTTTTGAACTCTCCCAAATTACTTGAACGCGTTGAAGCCTATCAGAGTAATAGGAATTGCATGAACGGAGCTGACAGATCCATCGTTCTGGGTCGATAAGAAAGGTAGAGTTGTGCTCATCATATCCACGTGTAATCAGCTGCCGCACGAGGATAGCTATAAATTCCTGAAAAAGGGCGCAGCCATTGAAAGCTCCTTGAATTCACCTTGAGCCTCGATATTTGATAACCGCAGCATCAGGTAGATCACTGTCGCTTCTCACATGAATCGATGGATCGAGTTCTTGGACCGAACAATAAGGGCAGAAATGGACAGAACCCGGCCGCACTGGGAATGTAGTCCTCAAGCTCCGTGACAGCTGAAAGGGGTTGACGCTAGAATTCTCAGGAGACTGTGCTGTCGGGTTGGAGCCCTGGGACTGAAGTAGGGACATTTTGCTATGCCAGCAGAAGGCCTTAATACTGCTGAAGACTAATGGTATGCTCAAAGAAGATACAGTATGTTGGATATAGCAGGTTGATGCTGAGTTCAGGCAGAAGCGGGGCTGTGTTTCAACCTCTACAGGTATATCACGTGTGCCCTTCACATTCCATCAGCCAATGATCCGCCCGCCTTGAAAATTGCCCAGCGTAGTTATCTTAAGTACAGGTATATGTTCAATGTCAGATTCCCATTGTTATAGAGCATAGTGCTAAGTAAAGGTGGACCTTCTTAAATATTTAAGTAAAAGAAAAGGAAAGAAAAGTACCAAATAAAGTTAAATTAATATATTTCTAATTATAATTAAATATTATTTAAATGTTGTAATTAAGATAGCTATATACATATATAATAATAATAAAATAGAATAAATATACCCACAGCTTTAATTGCCTTGTTACGTGTAGCGCACTTGATAACGCTTAACCTTCTAAAATGCTGCCCATACTTTCTCTTTTCATTGATACAAACTGCTTTATTCGCTACTTTCCGCTTACTTTATCTTTAATGGCCCGGGAGTAACACCGACAGCTCTACCCGCAACACTTCACAAGATACTTAAGAAATGGGACTTGAAGCAAGCTTTTGTAAGTTGGGAAATACGGTCTATCGGTTTATAGAGCATAAGATTACAGATCTTCTCTTTAGCTATGGAGTCCAAGTACAATTGGTCATTTTTATCCTTGTATTGACTGTATAAAAACCCACGCTTCCACATAACAAGGGCTATAGTCAACACCCTCACCGTTGTCAGCTAAAACTGCTATATACAACGTCTGAACCTACACTATCTGTCTCAGCGCCATGTTCGTTGTCCTGAAAACCTATCTCTCCACACACTCACTCTATGGCGCTTTGAACTTGTTGTAAATGGGTAGTGGTTTCGGCAGGAAGGATTAGAGCACGTTCCAGGAACGCCTGAAGTTCCAGAATAGGTATATGATTCTGGGCTGATCGCATGGTACCAGTCGTGGCTTGGTCCATACCAATCCGAGTTTCTGACACATATCTTTGTCTCATACAGAAAGCAAAGACGAGTGATCGATTTATCGGGTCCGTAGTGGCGAGGCTCACAAAACACCGACAGCCCGTTAGTATGGTTCTCCCAGTCGTTGCAGTCCTTGGGCTCGACGCCTTTGGGCCATTTCCTGATGGGTGTCCACATCCTCTCTTCTGTTACAGGGTTGTCTGGCGTGATGAAAGCGTCCATTTCAAGAAGAGCTTTCGTGCTGCGCTCTGGGACAATGCATTGCGCTCCATGCCGGCGAACGGACTGAATAGCCTCCAGTACTTGGTCGGCTGCTACGCTGCTAGTCTGGCTTGTCACAAGATTCTGGCATCTCTCGGCTGAGACGACAGTTAATGACAACGACAGACTAAGTTTGCCACCATGACAGCCAGATATCTTGGCATTGGGGATTTCGTTATGAGGGAGATCGTTTTCCAAGTGGCTCAGATGTGTGCAGTTTTCAATCTCGATGAACCCACCGGCTCGCGTAGTCTGGGATTCTATGTCATCATAAAACAGGACCTTATGTTCGCAAAGACGAACATAACCTGTTTTGGCAATGCATGCTCGTTTTGATTCCTTTTGTAATTCTTCGCGGGAAAAACATGAAGATGGATGTTCAACAAAGCACTTGTAGCAGTATACCCAATCTCGGTTGTCTCGGGCGGCAAACTTGCACGTTAATGAAACACCATCTCTCTGTCTTTTGTCGACTTCCAGTTGGCATTCTTCGCAGATCTTGTCCTTTCTGACAAGATTTGCGAGTCCTGTTGTGTCTTCGTATCTTATCTTGCGCTCGAAGCAATGGGCTTTTCTGAATACCCAGGTACTATGCTTCAATCTAGTAGAGTCAGTCTGGTAGCCGACACACCATGCACAGCAATCTCTGTCTGAAAAAGAATGTGATAGAAACATCTTATCTTGAGTCAGACGTCTGAATTGCCGGGTTACCTGCCGAAGGACAAAGAATGCAAACCGAGAATGTTGGTCAGCGCCTTCATATATTTGGCGAAGGATGTTTAAGATAATCTCGTCTGGAAGGGAGGCTAATTTTGATGCAGTCGATGGCTTCTCGACCTTCTCTTTTATGGCGTCTACTGGACCATATCTGTGTGGATTTTCCGATGGGTACAGGTTCTTAGGTGTTACTGACCGCTCAGGTTCAAGTTCAATCTTCGTCGTTTGATAGTTGTGAGAAGTTGTTAGTTGTGTAAATAACCCCGTTGAGCTCTTGAATCTGTCCTGTGTAATAGTGACTGACCCGTCGGTATGTAGCTCCTCCGATGCCGCCAGGGTCTTTGGTGTAACTAAGCCATCCACTTCAGATTTAGCCTTTTTCGTTTGATGGTTGTCTGAAGTCGTTTGCTGGACTAGCGAATTCGTTGAGCTCTTGGCGGTTTCCGTCTTGCGCATCTCCATACTCATTGGGTTGTTGACCTCATTCGTTCTCGTGGGATGAATGCTTTCCGTCTCCTCTTCCATTCGAGTTAGGAGCAATAGCAGGAAGCGGTTCTGAGTCTTACCTGAACAGTCTGGAGACATACCTTTGCTGCAACAGCTAAAGAGAGTACATAGCCAGCGTTTCAACATCTTGTGTAGCTTCGTGCCGTCTTCCTTCGTCCTTTGTCATACGGTGTTATGTCCAACAACATGTTTGGGCGACTGTTCGGGGGTAAAGCCACTTATGTACATAAAGGACCAGCGCGAATATTTAAACTCCATGCTGCGTGTATTCAGAAATTTAAATAAAAAAGCTTTCTCCTACTAGTCACTTCATAGGTGAACTTTATAGCAAAAGCCAGTCTTTGAACTTAAAGCGTGTTAAGCCGCGTGATGTGAGCATCAGCAGTGGGGTCTATCAACTCAAAATGCAACTCTTATCAAATCAGTTCAGGCAGTCCTCAGGGGGCAAGAAAACTCAGGCCTAGTAAGAGTATATCAAAAATAAACTTAGCAAAAGATATCCTAAGTTTAGTAAAGTTACCCTAAATTTATCCCAAGTTACCTAAGTCTTAATATTATTTATTATTAAAGTTCTGAGTATTCTTTCCTCCCCAAGGCAGTATACCAGCTACCTAACACAATCAATGGGCTTTTCGATTACGTCAGGGTTTAAACTTTGTAAGGGTTCAGTGGCTATATATGCGACAGTAGGTTCATTAATGGTTCGACTGATGACTTTTCATTCTGAAAGAACGGAGTTTGGGCCACGTGACTTGTCTGGCGTTCTTCTGCTGAGAAATGCAATGAACCAAACGCATCACATGTCTAACAACCTATCGTGGTAGCGAGTGCGCAGCAGGGAAACAGTTGGAAGCCGGTGGAAGGCTAAAATTGATGAATCAAGAGCATTCTTCCCCCTGTTTGTCTCAGAGCACCCAGGCGTCCGTCGCGGGGTTTTGTGAAACTTGACCTCGAGCAGCTGTGAGAATGTTGCACACCGCTGAAACAGTCACTGGTGTTTCCTGAACTTTGGATCAAAGGAAGAAGACAGATAATCCTCTGAAGTGTGAATACGCGAACAATGCCTGCAGCCTCAATCCCATATCACTCGGCTGCCAGCGGCTTTGATACAAGCCCAAATATGGCATCTAGGGCATCAAGCAATACAGAGAAAGACAATTTCACATGCTAAGCACGAACCGTGTCTCCTAGCGCCGCCAATACCCGGATATCCAGGTGATATGCTGTCAGTGGCGGCGGCAATCTACACCGCAATATGCATCGAGACTAAAAAGACAGATCTGCGGCTGCAAGATGGAGCGGCACGGTGCTCTACTCCGACCATCCGACAACTCACTCTTAGGCAGACCGACAGGTCTTTTTGTCATAAGTAACAGGTACCCGGCCGTTGCGCCTCACAGACGCGTTGGCGGCCCCTTGTTTGTCCTGCATGTCTCATTACCCCGCCGTGCCCAGCTCGAACTTGGGAATTAGATGTAAAGCCCAAGAATCAGAAGACTGACTTCTGAGAGAGGTATTTGCTGCTCCGTACTGTTCCACACATAATTCAAGTAATCAAGTTCAAGTAGCAAGTGGAACATTAGGATGTTGGAGCAGAGATTATGGTTCCTGGGCGACCAACGGCCAACCCTGGATGCAACGAATGACGTCGTTGTTCTCTTATCCATAAGAGGCCGAGTACTGAGACACGGGAAATTCTGTGGCGGGCTGAATCTCAGACAGAAGAGAGGGGTTCGGGCGGGCCGCTGCTCTTTTAGGTGAGACATACAGACCGTGTAACCAGGTACAGTGGAACCTGTCACAATTGAGATCTCTTCAAACCCCGCTTCCCCGTCGACTTGCTATCGGGAGAGAAAATGATATCTTTCCTCACCCCAGCCTAGTCTTTCGTATTCACGTTTCATTCAACTAGAAGAAGTTTGCTCAATAATGTGATTGGCTGGTAAAATATCTGGATGACTGTTACAGGGACCTACACATGTGAGAGAAGAGGCATGGCCTAGCAAAGTCTTCCCCGGACTATTCGAAGCGATTGTGTAACCCCGGCCGACAGCCAGATCAGCAGTCCACCAATGGCAAGATGCATACGATTCCTCTTCTCTCAGAGAATAACACAAAAGATTCACTTACCGCTAGATCATCGTCGTACCGTGTCTCAGTGAGTGCTTGGGATTTGATGTGCCGATGGCCCGGAGAGGAGATGATCATGCCAGTAGCCTACAGAATGTGACGGAAACGTACATCTACATGATGCACAGTGACACGAGACCTTCATTTTGAAGATAATTGGACATCGGGGATGATCTGTGGATGTCGATTGTGAGACAGTAGAACAGCTGTACGCGTAGGCTGATTTACAAGGTACTCTCAATCTTCCAATGTCCCCCCAAAGGCTCCTTTTCTATAAGAGGCTCTCACTCCCGCTCATCCTGAACATAGACTCTCAACTCAAATCATCACATCTTCACCCATCAAACCTTTCTTAAACAACTCCCCAACACAAATCACTCACAATGGGTTACGGCACTCTCGAGAACGGTGACTGGCTCATGGTCGGTATGAGCATCTTCAGCAAAGATCGCTCCGTCGAGCTCCGCATGCAAGACGACGGCAAGCTCGCCATCTACTACAACAACCGCTGCGCCTGGCAGAGCACCGACCAGCAGATCAGCAACGCAAAGGGCGCCATCATGCAGGGTGATGGTAACTTTTGCATCTAGTAAGTCCAGTTCTTCTCTATTGCCTTCTTGTTGTCAGGTTGTTGACTCATGTGTTGCAGCGACAAGAATGGTAAGGCCACTTGGCACACCAACACTGCTGCCCCCAGCGGCGACAACAAGACCTTTGTCTCTGTCCAGGATGACGGAAATCTTGTTTTGTACAAGAACGGTGGCGCTACTCCCATCTGGTCTTCCAAGAGTAACAAGTAGATTGGCTGGCTTGGCTAATGTGAAGTATGCACTGTTGGAGGGTATGGTTCGGGATCTAGGGACCAAGACAAGTTCTACCTACCAAGTATTGCATGTCTCATATCATACATAGCCACCAGATCAAATTGAATCTGAAAGAGATGCAGTCTTTGTAGCAAGTGCCAATATGTCAATGAATGCGAAACGGATCTCCATAGATACTCCATCTTCGTTATGCCCTTCAATCAACTGGACCAAGTCGTCACGGTCTGGATCTACCGCGGTGAATTCCTTTCTGATTATGATATGTCGGATCTAATAATATTGTCTAAGTATAAAACATGAGAAGTTAAGTCTTGGGAGTCTTTGAATCCCTAAAGTCATGTCCCAATAGTTTGCAGAAAGCCCTAGGCGCTGCAAACTCTCGTGAAGGCAAAGCTGTCGAGGTTGATTTGAATTCTGTCGTAGTCTCCAGTACAGGTTATGGAGAGTTCTACATCCGCCTGCGCGACACTCTCGCCTGCACTAGACCAAGACACGCTACCTGACGTCCAATCACCAACGATTAAGTCGATACTGAGGGGAACAGTCGTATCATCCCCGATCTTGACCTGGAGACTACATCTAGAGGAGGGACCAATCCTGGTAACAGCGACCTGGTAATAGTAGGAGAATTCGTAGTTGCCGTTCAGATTCGTCAGGGTCTGTTTCACGTTGCCTCTGTTGTTGCTCTGACCGTTGTTCCAGATATTGGCCCTGGTGCACAATATGTTAGTACGATAGAGCGAAAAGTGTGAGGTAGACGGTCGTACAGAGCCTGGGTGCCAGCTTGAGATCCTCGCGTAATTATGAAGACGCTGCCAGTCCAGGGTGTAATGCCGGTGGTTGAATCATCAAAGCCTGGGTTAACAAGCAATTGGGTTTCGACGCAGCCTGGCACAGCAGTGGTGGTGGTTGCAGCAAGGGCAGTGGTAGTGACGGCAGCGCTTGTCACGGCCGTCGTCGAAGGTCGACAAAGGCCGGCTTCGGCTCCAGCTTGGAACGCGGCGATCACCGCGACGTTGAAAAGGTTAAAACGCACCATTTTGGCGCAAGTAACGGAAAATAAATCTTTAAACGAGTGGAAGGGACTGCAGGGGTTGCAGCGTGGGTTGAGAGAATGTGAATCGAGAAGCAATTTGAGCAACGGCATTTGCTGTCTATTTATCTCCTGTAGATCCAGCTGTCTACGGAGTAGTCATCAGCTCATTTCCGCAGCTGTAATCCGTACCTAGCGCTACATAACGGCTTGGCAGGAGGCTATTGCCAATAGTTCACTACAGCTAGTCACTTTCGGAGGTAGTGTGCATGTAACGGACCTGTCAGCAACGCCCATGTAGTCCACTTTGCCAAATAAAGTCAACAGAACCAACACTTTAATCAGGGGTTCCGGGTTCTTCATTCCGCTATTGACAAGCCCTCCCGCCTTTGGCATTTCGCTAATGCTCAGTAGATCAGATCTGCCGCATACCACGGGCTTTTTGGCCTTCAATGTGTGATTATTATTGAAGAGGTATCATGACGTTTTTGTAGCTGTGTGTGAGGCGCGTGATGGGAGCATCAGCGGTGGGGTCCGGCGAGAAGAATAATACTGACATAGCCGCATTACACTGATCGATTGATCAAGCCGGAGCCTTATGCCAGTGGGGGTAATGGTTTTTGAAGAATTTATAGTGTATTAAAGGTTGTGATCTAAGCATCAGCTGTCAGATAGGTCATATTGCTCGGGACATATCATCCTGGGGTGCTGTAGTCCTCGACATGAGTTTTCCAAGTATAAATCTCCGAAAGACAAATGGTCAACTTGTAGAAGGAAGTACGCTGGCTACCTATGTTGATTACATTATGATGAATCTAAAAAAAAGGCGATAAACTTCAAATATATTAAAATTTCAGCCTCAACGCCCAAGGACCCCTAAAGCTGTTCTAATCTCGCAAACTCCTAAGCGGCACCACAAACTCGCGTAAACGCAAGAGTATCAATGTCAACCTCAATTCCTCTGAATTCTCCAAGACAGGTCAAGCCAAGCTGCACATCAGCCTGTGCGATAGTATCATCACCCAGATCCAAGATGACGCTGTCTGTCCTCCAGCCACCGACGATGTCATACATGGCGCCATATTCGCTTACAGATCCAGCCGAGAGCTGAACGTTGCAAGTGTAATCGGCATTGTCGCTGATGCTGACGACACGGTAGTAGTAAGAGAATCGGTATTTGCCACTCAGATTTTGTAGAGTCTGCTTGAAGTAGTAATCGGGTTCGCCGTTTGCGAAGGTTGCGGAACTGGTTCGTCTTGTGTTAGTAGGTGAGCGATAAAGATGCGTTTTCTGAATCAACGTACAGTGCGTTAGTGCCGGATTGGGGCTGGTTTTGGGTGAGGGCGGCGTTGCTGGACCAAGGCGTGATTTCGTCGGGAATGTCGTCAAAGTTTGGGTTGACAAACAGCTGGGTTTCGACACAGACTGCCGCTGCAGTAGTCGTAGTAGACTCAGCCTCAGTTGTAGTAGTAATATCCGCCACGGTCGTAACAGCAGTCGTATCAATTGATGTAGCCGTAGTCTCAGCAGCGAGCGACGAAGTGGTCTCGGCAAGGCTTGTCGCAGCGGTCGTCCCTGGTTTACAGGGACCGGCTTCTGCACCGAGGAGCAGCGTAGCAATGGCTGCTAGGTTGAGTAAAGAAACGCGAATCATCATGTCGCGATTGTGAAAACGAGTGAATACGACTGCAGATATCGCAGTGCCAGTATAAAGAACGTAACTATTGAGATGATGCAAGAGGCAAGTCTGATTCAGAAAATTATTCAGGGCCAGGCGCCCCCTTTCCAATTCGTAAGCTGTCATTGTTGGCTCTTCTTTGAACCTGCAGTAGACTGGCGCTAAGTCATCGCTTGCATGAGGCTATTGCCAATAGTTCAATACGCTATTGGGAAAATGGTCAAGTTAAGCATAAAGTACTAACCATTTTCAGAAATAATATCCTCGTGACGGAACTGTCAGGCAACGGTCGTAACAACTCAAGTCAAGCCGGCTTTTTTAGGGGCTTGACTTGGGGGGGGGGTGAATTAAATTAGGTTATATTTTAAAGGTCAGGCTTAAATTAAACAAGCTAACTTATATAATATTAGTCAGATAGCTGCAGGGAATAGCCCTACCTATTTTCTATAACTAGCTTCCTAAGTATTATATTACCTCTATTACCTTTAGATTTAGGCTATAATATTAATCTAATAATATTATTTTAGCCTAACTAAATAACCTTTTTACTCTAGCTAATTTAGTAAGTATATATAAGATATTATAAGCTATTTTAATAACCTAGGATAGGTATATTTATATTACTTTTACTATTTAATTAGTTTATAGCTAATTTGCTTAACTTCTTTTATTAAATATTAAGATAGCTTAGTAATAAAATAGCTATATAGCCTTGCCTATTTTATATAGAAGGCTATAGAAATACTATTAATTTCTTTAGGTAAAGAGGATATTTTTTATATAGTAAGTAATTAAGGGAATTAAGGGTCTATAACCTTTTAATTTTCTAAATAAAAGGCTTTAAAGCAGGTATAAATAGCTTTAA